CCTGAATAAGACTTGGTCTTAAAGGTGCCACTGGACTGTTTTGGACCGGGGGCCGGGGGGCTTTGCAAGTTACCTGACTGCTTCTTGCTCTGACTAAGGGCTGCTGGGAGCAGGAGGCGGGGCTTGTTGCATGTGCCTGCCCCCTGGGCTCTTTACTGCCGGAGCTCCGCTCCTGTGCGCTCCTGCAGGAAATGACCCCTGCCTCTTCCTCCCCTTTAGATGCCAGCATTCCTTCTGGGAGCTCAAAGGCGATACTCACCTGCGCAGACCAGGTTAGTGCAGGTCAGCTTCCCTTGGGAACAGGTGCTGGGGGAGGGGAGAGAAACAAGGAGACTGGCTGAAACCCCCACCCCAGGCCTTGGCCCGGTCATGACAGTGCTTCTGGGAACCTCCACCCCCCACCCCACATAGCCTCTGAGCCTCACCAGGTGTTACAGCCGTCAGTGTGAGGGATGGTCTGTTCTGGCAGGTACCGGTGGCCAGAGAGCAGGTCCAGGCAGAGGCAGCTGTGCTTCTCCACGCAGGCCGTGCCGTTCCTGTCCAGAACTTTCCCACCAGTGCAGTAGCAGCCGGGCTCACAGGTCCAGAGGCAGTGCTGGGGAGGCACAAGGGGTGCATGAAGCGGTGGAGTCTCCTGAGCTCCTGGGGCATTAAAGCTGTGAGCCAGCGACTGGGCTGCTGCATCAATTAGTTTGCTCTTCTGGAGCCCCATCCTTCCTGAGCTTGGACAAAAAATGTGTGAGCTAGAGGCTAGCTCACACTAACTCAGCTTAGAGGGAACACTGATGGAGAGGCCAAGTAGAAAGGGGAGACAGAGGCCCAGAGAGCCAGGAGGCAGGGGCACATAAGGGTTCAGAGGGGAAAACCAGCAGAGACAGGAAGGGGGTGACCATGCCCTTCAGGAGGGTCTGTGGGAAGGAAGAAAAACTCTCCAGGAGCGCCGGAGGTGACCCACAGAGAGGAAGGTGGTAGGAGGGAGATTTTTCTGGCCAGACCATTTACATTCCAGCTGTCCAGAACTTGTACACAGCAAGCACAAAACCTGCCTGTTCTGCTGAGAAAACAAGGTTGCACTTACCTGTAACTGTTGTTCATCGAGTGGTCTTCTGTGCAGGCACACATGGGATCTGCGCAGGCGCAGGCCAGCCACGGAAAAGATTTGCAAGCTTTCTAATAGACTAGGAGTGCCCCTCCTCTCTCTGGCGCTTTCCCGCCAAAACGCTCACATGACCAGGAGGAGGGGCACTACTCCCTCAGTTCTCTCCATGCCGCCACCGGAGACCCCTAGAAAACTAAAGTTCCAGAGAGTTCACAGCGGGGCAGGAGGGAGGGATGTGTGCCTGCACAGAAGACCACTCGATGAACAACAGTTACAGGTAAGTGCAACCTTGTTTTCATCATCGTGGCTTCTGTGCAGTCCCACATGGGAAGATTAGCAAGATCACTGAGTGAAGGAGGTGGGTGTGAAACTCTCAGAAGGAGACCACCGAGGGCCGCTTTTATCAAGGGTTGTTTAGCGGCACAAACTGACCTTCACCCAGAACTCTCCTGTACCAGAGCAGCAAGCTCTGTGCAAGTGCCCCCACCAACATACACGTGGGAATGTGGTAAAGAAAAGAGAGCACTCTTTTGAAAAGAGCCATCATACAGAGAGTGGTAATGAAAGGCTGTGCACTCAGA